AGAGCACAGAATGTCATGATCTCAGCTCCCTGCCTCCTCTGCTCTTTACCACCTGCAAGTGCTCTTGGCCACGCCCACTTCGCCGCTCTGCACAGTGAACAGCTGATCAGCTGCAGCAGAAAGTTTATTCTGCGGTGTGGGCTGCACAAAGATGCAGGAGGAAGCTTTTTCTGCAGCTCTGGGCTGCACGCATGTGTTTAAATTATTTAAAATAATGTATTTTAAATAAAACTCCATGCCGATCGTGCGGCTCATCCATTGTGTGTCATGTCCAATCTTATTTTGAAAAATCGCAATAGAGCGAGTCTGCGATAAACAAACTGTGAAGTAGCGAGGGACTACTGTACCACCACTAATTGTTCAAACAATATATTTTACTAGTCTGAGAGTCACAACCAACTTCACCTCAACTAATCACACGTCTCAATCTGCTTCTCAGTCAAATTCTGGAAGAAGGTGTTGGAGAAGAAAAACAACCACACACTTCTGAACTTTGAGGAGCAGCTCCGATCGTTGCACTTGGACGGTGAATGTACAGAAAACACTGAGGAGAGCTGATGGTTGAAAAGAATAAAAAGTAACGCAAACCGGGGGCTGCAATCGTTAAAGATTGGGTAAATACAAATTAAGCTTTTATTTGCAATGAGTTGGTGGTTTTACTTTGAGTGGAGCAGAACGGAACCAGCCGCTTGAAGAAATCACAAAATATGAATTTTCAGCCACGTTGTTTGTGGCCCTGAATGAATGTCTAATATTGTAGTTTTTATATCTGTAAAACTGTATAGCAGTCAATTACAGAATACTAACAGATTATCAGGGATGATTTACCACTATGTTTTGGAATTGTTTTTCTTTTTTGTCCCCGTACTGGTGTTTCCTTGCAGCTGTAACAAGAGGGAGATGATCGTCGTACAACACGTAATGGGAAACGATTCAGAGCGGATGAAGTCATGGTCGTGTGTCTTTATTGGTAAACAAAAGTCTGCGTAGGAAATTGGCGCTCGAGCTTGTGTTGTTAGAGAAAATGGACTCCAGCATCTTTAAAGGTTCCCATATTTAAATGGGAATTCCTCCTTCACTCTGAAATTTAGCTTTAAGTTGTAAAAACAGTGAAGGGAGATCAGATTTATAATTTATTTTTATTATAAAATAAATTGATACCAGCAAGTAATGGCGAACTAAATTTTTACACATTACAGTCAGAAATATTTAGTTATTTTAATCATTTTTTTTACATCGACACATTATTCATGGTTATTTTAAATCGGCACTTAAAATTATCTTTGGGTTAAACAAGCTTGGACTTCACATGATTTATGTACAAATTTTATTACCCCAACTTCAAGTTTTCTACATGTTCAAGGTATTTCTCTTTAATTTATTTTGAGTTATGTACAACCACCTCATGTAAAATATTTAAATTTTTGTTTGACTTTACTGCAAGAATTTGTCGTTTATGGAGAAACTGCAAATTATATAAGCTGCCACAATCCACTGTTATTCCCCATAATGAGGAAAAAAGATGCTAAACGATAATAAATAACCCGAAGTGCTGATTGACAATCACGTTAAATGAAGCAATAAATGAAGAATGCTCCAAGAGATGGAAAATGTTTGTTTTAATTCGTTCAACAGGCTGTAAGAACATTGTGTAGTAAAAATATTTGTCTAAATTACAGCTAAATTAACACAATTGTTGCTGTTGATTCAAGAGTTTGGTTCATTCAGGTTTGCAGTGCAGTTTATTTTTACAGGGTGGAGGGAGGCAGAGACTTGTCAAACAGTTAATGGCTGGAAAAAAAATATACACAACACGTATGAGTCGTGACATGTTGATACAGGAGAAGCAACATGATGTGTTGCGCCACTTCTACAAGGACGTTTAATGTTTAGGAAACAATGTTGTGCAACGTGAAATTGTGAAAACACTGGCTGAAATACAAGAATGTCAAAAGAGACGCACAATCCCATGTTTTAAAAGCTGAAACGATGGCATTTAAATGTAAAAAAATTCATTTTGTTTACATTAATCTGCAACTTTGAGAGCCAGCAGAGTAGTTGCTGTGACTTTAAGCTTTAAAGCCGTTTCCACGTCTTTTGTTGGCTGCACCTTGAAGACTACGTCTTAATATGTAGCATCACACGAGTGTCTTTAGTAATGATGACTTTGAAAAAGTAGATTTGAGTCTTAAGTTTTCGGTGATAAACACGATGCTCATCACATCATTCTGCCGTTCTAAATCTCCATATTTGCACGGCGACAGTGCAGCGTTCTCTGTCGGTGCGGGCATAATTGTTCATGTGCAGCTTTGCTAAACTCGTTGGCATCTGTCAATCAAAATGTTGGACAGCCAAGACTTGAAATTCACACTGCCCAGACAGAGCGGATGGACGTGCTCCCACCTGGACAAAACGTCAGGCAAAGACTCTTCTGCTCCTCCACTGGTTGTTGAACCTGCGGCACCGTCGGCGCCGACGTCGTTGGCACTGATGTTCCACTGACCGTGACTTCGGAGTGCTCGGACCGTCGCTTCTTTGTGAAGAAGTGGAATTGATGGTTTTGAGCTCTGAGAAGGCTAACTCGTCCACATAGGAAGGCACTGGCCATTAAGTTATTGAATCTTGTTTGCTCGGTACACCTCGTCCAGATGTGATCCCATGTGACTGCACCTGCAAACAGAAATGTGTGTAGTGCAAAAAAAAAAAAAATGGATTTGATCAAATGTTTTTTCAAATTGTAATTAAAATGGAATTGTTGCATGGCTGGACAAGTGTTTTCATAGAACTGGAATACTAATAAAAACATTAATGTAACTGTAATACACTTTCTACCTCCAGGTCCTGCCAGTGGCCACAGTCCACCTCCCCATCTGGAGAAACAATAACCCAGGGTCTCAAAGGTGTGGCCCTCATTCTCTGTGAACATTAAACTTGAAAGTTTAAAAATGTTTCAAAATCATTACTAGGTAAACGTTTCAAAGCATGTCATCTAACCTTGAAATGTGTAACGATCTGCAATAATTTCTCCATGTTCCATACGTTTCATTTCACTGGAAACGTTAACGGGGAAGTCCAATCCTGGCCTGAAGGGCCACTGTTCTGCTTTACCTGCTTCCCTGCTCCAACACACCTGATGCAATGGTTGAATTAACCCTTCATGTGTTGCAGGTTCCTGGTCATCCCCCATCGATTCAAATCGGTGTGTTAGAGCAAAGACACCTTTTAGAACGGGTGTCCCTGCATGTTTTAGACGTTTCTCAGCTCCAACACCTGAAACAAAACGTGCAGGATAGTGGCCCTCAAGGACCAGGATTGGTCATCTTTAAGTTTCACAGATCAAAATGACTGTAGTACATAATTAGACTTTTAAAGGGAATGGACTACGTATACCTTCGGGTGCAAAGTTTGAATTTAGAGACTAGAAATAAAACTGCGTTAAATCTGTGGAACTACTTACCTGACCTGCGACCAGAACCGTGTCCTCATGTCTTTCACAGTCACTGCTGCTTTGGCTGTGTCCAAAGACTAGAACATTTGTGGTGTAAGCACTTCTCTTGTGTGAATTTGTCACAAAGTCGTAGTACTACTACACTACGTTACCGCTTGTAGCGAGTCCAACACACATTTGTCTTTTATTTTGTCCACCTCGTATGGATCAGTCCCAGGGACAGCAACCTTCTCTTCATTACTTTTCAAGGAAACGCTGTTTAAAGTTAACGAGTTGTAGATATTCATAAATTGGGAGTATTTTGTTACAATTCCTCCTCAGGTTCGTGAGATATTTTGCTAACGCTACAGAAAAAACTTTGGTATTACAGCAAGTAAATTACAAGGTCAAATTTGTCTTTTAATTTCCCACTCTTCAATAAAAATGGCCATTTCCTGGCCTTTTGTTGAATTACATAATTTTTATATTACATATTTTGTTTTTAAAAAAATTACACGTGAAATTATTGTAAGGACAGTCTTTTGAATGAGAATTTGTCTAATGCCAATTATTTAAAATCAGCAGGATTTTAAATGCTCCTGCAAAATAACTAATTTCACCTAGTCTACTAAAGGTTGAATAAAAGCCTCTTGTGATTTAAATAAATTATCCATCCAGTGGTAAAAACTGCAAGAGTCACATTGTAAATACTTCGATTGTGTCACCACTTTTAAATTGGTTGTACTCTGCTGGTGTGCACGAAGTTTCAAATAAAACTTTTTTTTTTAAATCCCAGGAGGCAGTACAGTGTGTCTTGTACGCAAGTCTCAGAAAAACCAGACAGACCAGGATTAACTGTTGACGGGGAAAAAGAAAACAGACCATAGACGATATTTAATTTAATTATAAACAACTGAAGCATTAAACTGGTGAAAACTGTGTTTTTCTTCTTTTAAACAAATAACAAAATGATCTTAACAGGTATTTTGTGAAGACATAACCAAAAGTAGTTTGTGTTCAAACAAGTTTCACCACTCCTCGAGGCCCCATCCGGCCGATGTGCTTTGATTTACGTTAAACTTCATGACGTCTACGACAGAAAGGTGAGGAGTGTCTTTAGACAATGTGCTGAAAACTTACAAACTTTTCAAGAATTAACCAAAAATGTCCTTTAAAAAATATATTACAGGTAACTAGGAGCCACGTACGACTTGACAAAACTCTTAAATATCCACTTTCATTGTACAAGTAAAAACTTAAAGAAAATAAATCCATTTAGTCTTTTATCTAAGTCTACAAAAAATAAATTTCACTACATGTCACAAGTGGTTCATCCTTTGGCAACTCTGGATATTTGTATCAAATTCAGAGTCAGTTCTTCTGTAAATATCAGTTCTTGCCAGCTCTAGCTGCGGAGAATTATCAAAGATATCTGTATCAGCAAATCACGCATCATAAAACCTGGGAACAGTATCTATGTATCCATTACCCGTTATTTGTAGGCTTGTTCCTCTGCTGCAGTCGGTCCCATGAGGGTATTTTGTTTTCTGATTGGTCCACTCTGTGCCGTGGTTTTCCTTGTTCTTGCAGAAAGTGTTCGCAGAGTCGTGTCTCTGTATGAGAACCATGTTACAGTTCACTTCTTTGACCCTGCTATAGTCGTCTGGCTCGTCCACGCACACTTCCTGTTTCTGAACAACCGAACCAACAGGGACGTTTTCAGTCTTGAAGATGAGAACGGTTTCGCCGTCCACCTCTTCCACTTTGCTGTAGCCTGCCACACCAACCTGCATGTTCTCATGCTGTTGAATATCAACGTAGCCGCTGGCTGCTTTCTGCTGGAGAGCTTTGCTCACAGACTCTAAACTCGGACTCTGCTGTTCCTCAGGAGGCGCCTGCGGCGTCTCCGTGCTCAGTAAGCTTTCCTTTGATTGGGCTTTACTGGTTGTTTTCAAGTGATTCTTGTCATCCTTCTCTTCCTCTGACTTTTCACAGTTGTTCTGCTCTGGAGTCGACTCCTTACATTGAATTTCTAAGTGTACGCCATCAGGAATGATCAAACTTTTCTTCTTTTTTTGAGATATGTAGGGGTCTGTTAAAAGCCAGTTGTTACTGTCAGACACAAGCTGGTACTCCTCGTTCTGGTCCGTCCAAGCCGTCATAGTGGGGAGGTGTTGGTTGCCAAAAAGAGCGATGACAACATCCTCGGAATGCCCATTCTGGAAGGGTTAAATGAGCATATTCTTGTAAGGCCAAAGGAACTGTTTTTGGGTGCTCTGGAAAAACAATAAAATGCAGCGTTACCTTGAGAAGTTGAACATCAACTCCTCTTATCTTTGGACCAGGAACAGGAGGCAGAAGCCACTGCTTCACACTGAGTAACAATAAAAAGTCATAAGAGATTTTTATTAATTAATCTGACCTCCTGTAAAGAAATGCGCTGTACAAAAGTGTGTCAGGTACTTACAATTTCCGTTTCAGGACCAAAATACACACAGCTGCCAGCAACGGAACTGTAGAGAAGATTGACACCAGTATCCAGAAGGGTTTCTCATTGTGAAAATCTGAACAATAAAAAAAGCGTTTTTTTGTGAAAAGTCGTCATTTTTCTTTAAAGTCTGTGGTGGAGAAAAGATCTTTGAAAACTTACGATTTGGCATTTTCACAGAAGAGGTGGGACTCCACTCACTCCAAGAGCTCTCATCTAGTTGACAGCGCACTGCAACCATGTACGTAGACCCAGGATCAACATTGTACACTTTATAAAAGTTGTCTCTACCAGTTGGGTACGTCTACACAGATGGATATAAAAACAGCATTTACTTTTTACTCTTGTTAAGGTCAGCTTTAAACCGTTGCTCCAGATAAACATATTTGTGAGGTGTTTTTTTTATGTTAGAGGGGTTTTTGTCCACGTCTCTGTCTCCAGACCAGACAATATAACTGGTCTCACTACTGTCTTGTAAACTTTTCCTTTGCCGACACCCTTTTGTCGCAAATCACTCCTGAAGCTTTTCTCCATCCACTCCATTCTGTCTGGACACACTCCCCATTTTCTTGGACAGTGGACCACAAGTACTTGAAGCCTTGCACCTTTGTGACCTCTGCTCTTTGTATCCTCATTGTTCCACCAGCCTCCCTCTGTCTTACTACGGCTGACTTTCATTCCTCTTCTTTCAAGTGCATACCGCCACCTCTCCAAGTTCTCTTCCACCTGTTCCCTGTTCTCACCACAGATCACAACGTCATCTGCAAACATCATAGTCCACGGGGATTCCTGCCTGACCTCATCTGTTAGTTGGTCCATCACCAGCTCAAACAAGAAGGGGCTTAGAGCCAATCCTTGATGCACTCCCATCTCCACTTTGACGTTATCTGTCACTCCTACAGCACATCTCACCACTGTCCTGCTGACCTCATACATGTCCTGTACCAGTCTAACATACTTCATGACCCGGTCCTAATCAGCTTTATTTTTTGTGGGTTTTAAGCGGCTGTAAAAATTTTGCACATTAATGTAACAGTGCTGGTTTACAGCTTTGACCAGATTTATAAAAATCAATAATAGAATATTTAAAATGAATAGCACTAATAAATTCTGTTTTTATTACTCTTTAAGCTATGCATTTGGACATGCACACAGCACCCTTACTTCTCACAGCCTCGTAAATATTGATTTGTATATTAGAAACTGCAATAACAGTTCATCCAAATTAATGATTTCTACTTCTGTTGGTGTGAGATATAAATGTAGAGCACATTTACTGGCCTCCAGTCAGAGACTTTAGAACAACTTGTCGAGCCAACTGGAGGAAAACAAAGTTCAATTATAACTCGTTCAGGTTGCTCCAGGTCAACCAAGACCCAGATTTCTCCGTTAATGATTTTCAGATTCACAGGTCTTCACCTTGAGGGCCCTTGTCTTTGGGAAACCATGAAAAAACTTGGGGCAAAATAAATCTAAACACTTTATTACAACTTTTCCATTTTTAACCAACCGATTCTTATATTTTAATATAATACCTATAGGGATAGTCTGGTGATTTTTAAAGCAACATTCTGTCAAAGTCCTAGTGAATGCTCAATAATCCAGGTAGAAAAATCAAACAAGGTTAAGTCAGGTCCTCTGTCCAGAGCACCTGATTTAACCTTGTTTGATTCTGTCAAATAGTTGTCAACAGTTAGTATCTCTCAGTGTTCTCTGATGTCATGGCTGAGTGTAAGAAAAGGGCAGGAGTCTTTGGCTAAGCTAATGATCAGCCAAATGAGGGAGGATGTTTTATCTATTGTTTTCCAGGCTTATAAAACAACTCTGAAAAATGTCTTACTGGTGTGAAAGAACGCTACACTGACTAATATTAAACTTCACTTTTACATGACACACTTTGTTTAGTTTGTTGTTTTCTCAACCAACACAACACTTGAGTTACTATGCAAAGTATGTGAGCATATACCATGAAGTTTGAGAAAACAATGACAGACTAAACAAATTGCATCACGCCAAAGAGTAGAGGTTTAAAATGAGCTAAAGCTGCTCTTTCACTCAAGCATGCCAACTGAGAACGTTATTTTATAAACCTAAAATACAACTGAAAACAGGCCCTCAGCTGTTAGCCAAGCCCCTTGATTTAAAACAAGATATTCATTTAAAGGTTTTCACTTTCCAAACACCATGAGGTCACAATGTTTCCTTTTTGTTTTTAATTAACCTGTTACTTTACATCTATTCTTGCGGTAAAACTTATTTTTAAAATTAGGACATAAAGCTTTTACAGGTCCCTCTTGCAAATAAGACAACTGTGTCTCAACATGACTAATGTGTATAAATAAAGCAATTTACTGCTTTCTATTGTTGCCATTCTTTCTCCTAAGAGACATTCTGCAACCGAGGGTTACAAGCAATGACGCATTTCAATTTTCGTGCACCCATTGTATCAACATCGTCAATTGCCATTTTGAAATCTCCATATAACCCTACTTGGGAAAAGCTCAGGACTGCAGATGTCCAGCATCTGTACCCTGTTTATTTGTAGTCATGCATTTTTAGTGTGCAAAACCGTATTGTTAAAAAAAAAAAATCCAGTTTTTCCTCCAACAAACACTCACCACCCAGGTACTGTCCTCCTCTTTTTTGACTCTCAGCTGATACTTTATGGTGACCCAGCCAGATTTGGTGTCTGCCTTCTGAGGACGATTCCACCTTGCGTGGAGATATGGACTGGTGGCGGTATTGTTCACAAACACTGTGACGTTTTCAGGAGTGTAAGGCTTCACTGTCAAACACAAAAAGAACAAGAAGCAAAGTCTACATTATGATGTTGCATTCTAACTAAAACAGCGCTTGCTAAACGCTAACAGCTTGCTGTTACGTTCAAGGTACATTGACCACGTTCGCCATCATGAATTGACCAACGTTTGCTTACTAGCTCTGAATGAATAGTAAATTTGTGGCTAATGAAAGTGTTTAGTCACCAACAACATGGTAGATCTACAGTGTAGAACAATCATTTTTTTTTAAAGTTTCAAGCTTTGATGAGAAAACGGGAAATAAAGGTACACCTTGATGCACCGGTCTTGCCGGCCTTTAGCTGAACAACGGGGTATGCTTTAACCACTTGTGTAACCATTAGAACACCCTGTAACAATTATTTACCAAGACATTAATGTCGCTACTCAAAGTTCACTGTAATTTTCCACTATCGCCAAGAAAAGAAACGTGTTTTTTGAGCAGTAGAGGATGAAGGATCTCCCAAGCACATATGGGCGTGTGCATTTCGGAATAATTTACCTGGCCGTTTCATGTCAGCTGTTTTATAGTTTGCATGACAACTTTGCAAACCTATGGCAGGCACTATGCTGTTGACACTGAACAAAGTGTACAAAAGGCTAAGTTTATCCTGGATGTGGTTGGTCAAACTTAAGTCTCACATTAGTCTGACGTGTCCTTGTAGATTTTGTGGTTGCTCAATAAATGGACAGGAGTTGACGGTTTGCATCTGACTGAAAATGAATGGGAACCCTGACAACATTAGCACAGCTTCTGGGAGTAAACTACTGAGCACAGTTAAAGTCCTATCCGTTAGTTTTTGAAGAATAAAAAATATGAATACATCGGTGAATAAAGACTGAGCTGAGCTATGAAGAAGTGGGAAACATGACACTGTTCAAACACAACCACCCTTAGCTACAAGAACAAGAAGAGCAGCTTCTCCCTGGGATTAATAAACACAATAAGCATGTGTTAAGTGTCATATGTTGGAACATACAATGTTCAACCACGCATGTGGGCATGTACAGCAGGGCTTCATGTTTCCACTGAAAAGACATTTCTATTCAATAATGTATAATTTAAGTATTTATTCCGTTACATTAGTAATTGCTTTATACATGTTGTTGAGTTAGTCTTTGCTTGTATGGAACAAAAACTTACATAACTGCCTGCATAACCAAACAAAGGACGTGAAATTTGATCTGCGACTGTACACAAGATTCAGACCGGTCTCAAACCAGTTCCACTTCATTCTCCCCAGACGTTCATTTGTCCCTCATGTCTATCACTCAGTACTTTTCCATTCCTCTTCGCTTTAAGACAACCGTGCAGCCAATAAATCCGCGCCAATCATTAGCTCAACATATGAAGATAATTCTCTGCTAAGTTGATTTCTACAATAAAGAATACATCTAGTAGAGGTCAAAAAGTCTTCCCCTCCTGATATGGCAGAATAAGAGTCACACAGAGTTTTAGGTCAACCTTCCTAATCCGAGCTTACTGTTATTAAATAGCACTTAATAGATTTTAAAGATCAGTCATTTTAGAGATCTAAAGTAACAGAACCAGGAAGATCTAAAGTCACAAGTCATGTATGCAAAATCATAACCTAAACAGAAACCCTAAAAACAATATTAAATCATAGTATGAAAATTATCTTCACTTCTCTCCAGTTTTGTCTCTCCTTCTTTTGACAAAAGAGGGTGAAAAGGTATTAAAATGTCACTTTTTTCCTGATAGTACCCATTTATTAACAAAAAAGAAGCAGACAAGAGCCATTTTTAGTCCGCCTGCCCCTTTAGAAAATACTCAAGTGTCATTAGGTTCAATTACAGCTATTAGCTTTACAAAGACACGCAGATTGACCTTTTCACAGTTACTAATGCGCATGCGTAAATCAAGCACCACGTGTGCAAACTCATTCAAAGCTATTTCAGGTATTCAAGATCGACATTCAACTCTAGTCCTTCGGTCCTTTACACCTGCTGTTTTATTGATTTTTATATACAGTCATACTTATGAATTAGTTTTATTATATTTTACATTGTGAGAGAAAAATGTCCTCAACGCACGATGTTGCCGGTTGTCAGAAGGACTGCAGAGCACAGTTAAATCATAGGTAGATATAAACACTGTTAAGGCTAAGTGTATTTCAACAAACCAGAACTAGACATATCTTTGCCAGAGCTATTCAACTAAACTGCTCAGGGGGCCACAGTTTCTGAAAGCCAGCAGCTCAGGGGCCGGACATCCATGCAGCGATTAAAGTCATTATGTAAATAAACCAAGTTTTACAATGATCTTTTAAATTTGTTTATTTTATTGCATTGAATCTTATATGCAATAAACAGAACCCAAACCCAGAATCCCCCCCCCCCCCCCCCCCCCCCAAAAAAGTGTTTGTTTTTTATGAAGTGGGCCGGATTGAAGTCACCCGTGGGCCATTTACGGCCCACGGGCCGCCAGTTGAATAGCCCTGATCTAGACCACAATGCATCACAAAATACTGACACTGAGCATGTGCAACATTATCTGTAAAAACATCAATAGTTGTTAGATTTTAGCGCAGTGGGATTGTCACCCGCCTTTGGAACACAAGATCGGATGAAACGACAACCATGATGAGGCTACGAGGAAGTCAGCCACAAGTAAAAAAATAACCGCTATGCATGGTTTTAATCTTAAAAAAAAAAAAAGAAAAATGGTGCTACCTCACAATAAAATTTAAAGATTTTAGAATTAGACCAATTTCTTGTGTCAGTACAATGTTTTTATCCACAACAAAAATAATAAAACTTTGTTTTATTAAAGGATGCAGCACGGTGACTCGGTTGCTTCTCAGTGAGACGGTCACCATTTCAAATTCTGGCCGGGGACCTTTCTGGGTGGCGTTTCCATGTTCTTCCGTGGAACGCACGCGTGGGTTTTCTCTGGGTACTCTGGTTTCCTCCCACAGACCAAAAACCTGCATGTTAGGCTGACTGGCAACTCTGAATGGTCCCTAGGTGAGAGAGTGAATGGTTGATTGTCTCGTTTGTTTCCATGTGTCCCTGTGATGGACTGAAGACCTGTCCAGGGTGTCCCTGTGATGGACTGGAGACCTGTCCAGGGTGTCCCTGTGATGGACTGGAGACCTGTCCAGGGTGTCCCTGTGATGGACTAGAGACCTGGACACTGTGATGGACTAGAGACCTGTCCAGGGTGTCCCTGTGATGGACTGGAGACCTGTTCAGGGTGTACCCTGTCTCTCGCACAGCTGGACATGGGCACCAGTGACCCCTGTGACCCAAAAAGGAAGAAGCGCGTAAAGCTAATGGATGGATGTTTTATTAAAGACTTATAGCTTCTTAAAGGAATACATATCACCGGCCGTTTTTCATGCCAGATTTTCAGACCATGATCTTTTGTGGAGCGATGGAGCTGTAGCAGTTTTGGTAAAATTATGTGCACTCTCTCGTGACATTTGTGTCGTTACTGATGCTCAGCTACTATCAAACCAACTTTAGCTCAAAAACTGACGGAGTTACAGCCACTCTTGAGTTGGTTGATTGGCTGTGGTGACTATCCTGAATGGGGTCGACACCAAATATTAATCCGTTGTAGATGTTCATCCAATCACTTTCTGTAAGTTTCATTAAGACCTGTCCTGTGGTTCATGAGATATTTTAGTAACAGAAACACACATACAGGTAAAACCTTTATAGCATGTCTTGGCTTTAGTTTTGCTGCGTGCTTTTTAAAATAAATCTTTCATCACACCTAATTTCTACTTCTTCAGTCTTCAAATCTTACCGATTTTCATCACATCATCAATCTCATAGGAGTCTGACGAGGTGTTGCCGAGGGCGTTGAAGGCCACCACGATCAGCCTATACTCGACCCAGATGGAGGTCTTGTCCTTCCCAAAGAAGCAGGAGTTTTCTCCTGCTGAGCTGTAGTCCGGACACTCGTGGATTCCCTCTAATCTGTAAAATAGACAAAACAAGACCTTTAATGACAAGATGTGGGTGCTAATGTAGAGGCGTGAAGAAGTGAAGCAGAGCCGCGCTGTTGGCAGTAAATACTGTCACTGACAAACACACAAGTCAAATTGTTGTGTCATCATCAGTGATGACTACAACAGGCCCCCTGATGTCATCTTTAAAGAACTAAAAACAAATTTGGGACAGGCCTCAGAAAACTAAAGCTTGAGAAGCTCAAGAAGCAACAAATAAAATGTGCCAACTCATTTAAAACAAAAGAAAATCGAGGATTAGCAGAAAGCAACTACATCAATATACATTTATAATACCAACCAGTTCTGTCAACATCTTCAGTTATCGGTTTTATTTTATAGAAGTATAAATAACAAATGCACAATTATTTTCTTTAACGTCCTAAACATTATGACTTTGTAAAGCAAACTAAACTTTTTTTCTACTTTTAGATCACATTGAAAATATAAGGGAATCACCTTTCAATTTGGTGCACAAGTCTAAATATGGAAATAAGTTTAATGAGTCTAAAGTTCACGGTCTTAAGCTGTTCCGCCCCAACGACTGAAAGTAAATGTTGTCCCGGCAAAGAAGCTGAAAGGATTAAATCAACCTTCAAAACAGACATTTCAACTTAGAAGGTCTCAAAATGTGTCCAAGATTTGGGAGTCAGGTCATTTTGGGGCATTAATTTTACGACACATTGTCACTGAACAGTCTTTCTTATTACTGACATCATGCGCCTGGATCAGGACAGGTGAGAGTCTCAGGTGATTCTCGTGTTTGAAGGCCTCCAAGATCTGTGTTCACTTCATTCACTTGAAAAGAGGGGACCAGTAGTTTTCCCACGTGATACGTCTAGAAACAACAAGTTTTACTCACTCTCTGTGTGGGTAATAAACTATAAGCAGACCATCTGGTGGCCTTGTACCAAAGACAAACACAAAATACAGATTAAAACCTCTTTCTGAGCCCTGCTGATGAACCTTGTAGTATCTGACCCCCCCCCCCCCCCATTTCCCCCCCTCAGCAGCTATTTGCACTGTGACCCACAATAGGAGGTCAAAATGAATGAAATGATAATGAATTTTAAGCAAAACTACAAGAAGAACTGACTTTTCTCTCAGATAGAAGAGGCGGTGTACTGTTGGCAGCCCTCCGTCGGAGCCCGGCTTCCACCAGCAGGTGAACGTCTCCTTGTCAGGAGACCTGCAGCCATCCAGAACTGGTTTCCCAGGTGGAGATGTGCCTGGCAACACGAGTGACAAACAATCACTATAGCAATAATAGCACCATTATGACTGCATCTGCATCAAGCGGAAACACATGCTAAATAGCTTTTGTTAACAGATAAGAATTATTTTTATAATCCATAGAATTAGATATGATTTATTTTTATTTGTAAACTGTTTAAATTTCTTGTCACATTGTGTATTAATGTCAATATACTTAAGAACAAAGGCTGCACCAAAGTGCTGCCCAGCAAATATGGCAGTACTAAAAAATCTCCAAAAAGCAGAAAGTCATAAAAACAAAGTAATAAAATACAAAACACTATAAAATAAAGAGAACATGTCAAGTAGTCAAATACCAGGGAGTAGAAGTGTCTTGAGCAGGTTTTCTGAGGTCTGAGCAGATCTTTTAAAGAAAAGTAAATAATTCTATAAAACAGCAGCAACTTCAAAAGTGTGTCCTGATGCATGCTCAATAATCCAGGTAGAAAAATCTAAAAAAGTTAAATCTGGTTCTCTGGACATTCAAAAAAACAAAACAAAGCAAAACAACAACTTTTCTGTCTAAGCAGCACCGGAACTGTTCTGACCAGTTGTTGGTGTTTTTTTTTTTTTTTTTTTTTTAATATCCAGAGGACCAGATTTTACTTTTTTAGATTCAAAAGTGTGATTAATAAATATAAATATGTAACTAATACGCATATTCCTTTATGTTTATGTTTGGGTCTTAGTTAGTTTAAAAGGTTGTTTGACCTCAGGGTCTTGATGAAGAATGGCGTTTTACAAGATCCCAAATATAAGATGGAAGCAGACCATTAAAAACCAACGACATTTTAAAATCAACCCAGTAACAAACAGAAAGTCAATGAAGTGAAGTCAGCGCTGGTGTTATACGGTCATGTTTTTGTTTCTCTTACAAGTCGAGCAGGAGCATTTTGCACCATCTGTAGACGACAGAGAGGTCCGTCCGTCCGTATAATCTATGCACGTTGCGCTAAATGCATGAACTATTTGACGCACACGAAGAGCTTTACTTTGGTTAGAAGACAATTAAAATAAGGAAATTTACCAGATATTTGCTGTCCCTTTGAAATCCTACTTTTCCAGTAGATTACGTCAAGATTTTTGACAGGGTGTTGAAAAGATCAAGTTATAGGCCCAAGAATGTTAAAAGGATTATCTAAAATATAATAAAAAATCCATCCACCAAAAAAAGACTTACAGTCACATTTTCATAAAGATGAAATGAGTTTGAGTTTATCTTTATTGTCCAATAATGGCTTTAGAGAATCACTGTTGTTATTAAGCATCTTTATAGGTGTATAAACCTGAAAGTCAACTGCAAAAGGGTGAAAAGTAACATTTAAGTTGTTAAAAACCATCTCAATGGCAGCATATATAATAAAAACATAGCTGAGCCCAGAATGGAGCCTTGAGGAACCCCACGTTAGTGGAGCTGCAGCTGATGCCTGATCTGCTTCTACACACTGCTCAAGGAGAGGTGAGGATACTCGGAGTTACTGCGACTCAAGTCCAATAGCACTGAAACCAGAATCTACAGTTGAAAGAAGGTCATAAATCCTTAGCAGAACTGTTTCGGTGCTTCTTAGACAGAAAAGATCATTAATTTTCAAAAAGCTTGAAATTTGACTAAATAAAAAGGGTCTAAATTTTTCTTTTTACAACCACAGCTTGATTAAAGGCTGCTAAAGCAACTGCATTATATCTTAAAAGATATTGACTGTATTTCCTTGCAACGCTGATGATATGCTTCGATTCAGATCTGGCAGAAATGAGTGAAACACCGGAGGTACTCTGACAAGGCGTGCTTTCCATTCCTCCCGTTTCATGTGAACACATGATTTGTGCACGTTTGTTTTTGTTTATTTTTATCACAGGTGACAGAAAAACAGTGTGGACACCTTATAGGAAAGATTTCATGCTTAGGACTTATTTTAATGAACAGACATCCGACAGCATCGAGCTGCTGATTGTTTCACTTTGATTCAGTCCCTGTTGCTATGGATGCTGTGTCAGCTACATTGAGTGGTACTATTTTGATGTCTCTCTGACCGATCTGTTGCTAGTATATCACAGTAATTCATGAATTGAAAGATATTAGCCTCCATGCTTTTATCTCATTTGCTTGAGTGTATTGCACCTTACACTTCGTTTTCTCAAGATGGTACAGAAAACTGCAGCGAGGCTCCTAATCAGAATAGAATAAACCTACTTGTTTTATTTGTTGCTCGTGTGTGTGTTAGCATAATATATTGTGATCACTGGATGGATTTGAATTGAACTTGTAGAATCTGTACACATACATCTACAGCTGATTAACTTTTTGAGTCACCGCAGTTAAATATGGCCACCACAGCTAATTGACATTAGCAAACACAAAAAATATGTATAACTTAGTGAAGTCTGCAGATGCTGAATTCGGATTTGGCATGGTGGTAGCTGAGAGTCATTGCCATCATGTACTCTGAGCACTAACAGATCATACAGTTTTTTTATTTAAAACTCTGTCATGCAACGTTAGTTTCATTACCATTAAAATTCATCTTAAAATTAACTTTTAGAGATTTCGATGGTAAAGCTCTTTGGTATATTTCAAACTTCTGAAGACCTTATTTTACCTCAGGTCTTTACAGATTGTTAAACTTATTTTAAAATCTGGAGAAATCACATTTCTCAAGCACCACAGTGGTGGAACGAGTTGGATAAAAATATGGATATTTCTTTAAAAATCAGCTGAGGACTTTTTCCATCAGAAAAGCTTTGAATTAGGTTTTATGATGTTTCACTTATATCTGTTCATTATTTTAATTTTTTTTTATCCTGTTGTATTTTATTATGAAGCATGGTCAATGTAATCTGAAGACGGTGCTATATAAATAAGCTTTAATAACATTTGCTTTTGGGGCAAAGAAATAATAAAGTAAACATAATAAAATGCAGAAAGGCATAAAACACAATGGTGCTGCATCCTCAGTGAAGGCTGAGCTCCTGCAGCCACAGCTCACACAGCTGCTGAAACAGATCCCACTTTTCTTTCATAACACTGTTATACCCACTTTAGTCTAATAATTACAGCTTGGTGTGGACTTACATAAAACACACAAAGAAAAGCTGAGGTGAGCGGACTGGAAGAGCAGCAGAGAACAGTTTTTTCCACGTCAGAAGTGTCTTTGGGAAAGAGACAGAATCCACATGTTGTTCCAGACAGAATATTCAGAGTTTACTAGTTCAAAATAAAAAATATCACAATCACGTGATGCTGTGAGATCTTACGTGATCTATTGGAGCTTGGAGACGACGATGTAAATGACAGTCAGCTAGAATCACATCAAGTGTTAGTTAAATATCTGTAGATTAGACAGTCACAGCAGTATTTTTGTTCTCTAGCTGTGGCAGCCATCTTGAAATGAGTTGGCTCCAAAGGTTAATCAGTTGTAGATGTGTATACAATGATTACCTTCTAACAGTTTCATTAAAATCCATCCATTATCTTTACCTGCTTATTTCTTTACGGGTCACGGGGGTCACTGATGCCCATTGCAGTCACTGTACAAGAGGCGGGGTAAACCCTGGACAGGTTGCAAGTCCATCACAGGACCACGTAGAGACAAATGTCCAAAACACTGTGTTGTGAGTTATTTCTCTTTTGGAAGCTGCTATTTACAAGCAACTCAATTCAATTCAATTCAATTCAAAAATACTTTATTAATCCCAGAGGGAAATTATTTTGTTGTTGTAACTCGTTATCCTCATTTCATTAAGAGATGTTATAGATGCTGATGGCTGTAGACAGGAAGGATCTCTTGTAAAGGTCCATCTCACAGTGGATCCTAAGAAACTGGCTGCAGATGCCGTCCGATCCGTCCACCCAGACTCGGCTGGCCTCCTGGTTCCCTTGGACTGTAGGACCGCTTGAATGCTGGGCAGAACTCCTCCCAGAGCGATGGCCACTCCTCCCAGAAGTCTGCCGAGCTCCTCATAGCTGCGGACAGCCAACTGTAGGTGCTGAGGGACGATCCTGTTCTTCCGCTGTCGTGAGCCATGTTTCCTGCTAGTTCCAGGATCTCAGTGGTCAGGCACTCGAGCACAGCTGGCAGGTAGATGAGAATGCGTCCATAGAACATCCTTTTCAACTCATTTGAGAGTTGGGGCCATAGTTGAGATATTATTTCAGCTTTTGAGATGTTATTCAGCTGCTGTTGTTGTAGAAAACTGCCTTGTTGCCATGGTTACGCATCATAACAAATGTCCAAAACTAAAAAAAGTTTCAGTAAAAATCCTTCCAGCTGCACAGCATTCGATACCAGAGGAAACAATCGTCCAAAAAATGTGATTTACATCCAGAAAAAGAGGAATTAAAGTTTCCAAAAGCAAAATCTCAGAATGAAAGTAACAGAGCTGCTCCAACATGCAGCACCTTGAGCGGCGCAATTCTAGAATTCAAGACGTTTGCTTTGGAGTTACACAAAGAAAACAATCTAAATATCATTAAAAATGACTTTGAAAAAACAGATTTAATCGATCTACAACTCCAATTCTGAAGAAGTCAGTTTGTTGTGGAAAATGTAAATAAGAACAAAACAAAACTTAGTTCTAGAATTGTGCCGCTTAAGGTGGCTGCATGTTGGAGCAGCTCTGTTACTTTCATTTTGAGATTTTGCTTTTGGAAACGTTGGTTCCTCTTTTTCTAGATGTGGATCTCATTTTTTGGATGATTGTTTCCTCTGGTGTCAGATGCTGTGCAGCTGGAAGGATTTTTACTGAAACTTCTTTAGTTTTGGACATTTGTTATGATGCGTAACCATAGCAACAATGCAGTTTTCTACAACCAACAGCAGCTGATTAACATCTCAAAAGCTCAAATACAGCCCCAGATCTCAAATGAGTTGAAAAGGATGTTCTGTGGACGCATTCTCATCTACCTGCCAGCTGTGCTCGAGTGCCTGACCAATGGGATCCTGGAACTAATGGGAAACACGGCTCGTGGCAGCGGAGGGACGGGGTCGTCCCTCAGCGCCTGCAGTTGGCTGTAAACGGCGACGAGGAGCTCGGCAGACTGCTAAGAGTTCTACCTGGCATTCGGGCGGTCCTGCGGCCCGGGGGAACCAACCAAAGAACCCCTTCTCGAACCGAGGGGCTGGCCGGGTCTGGGTGGACGGATCGGACGGCATCTGCGGCCAGTTTCTTGGGGTCCACTGTGGGACAGACCTTTGCGGGGGATCCTTCCTGCCTGCAGCCATCAGTGTCTATGGCATCTCTTGGTGAAATGAGGATAACGAGTTACAACAACAAATAACTTCTCTTTGGGATTAATAAAGTAGTTTTGAATTGAATTGAATTGAAAACGCAATGGTTTCGAAATCTTATAACCCAATAGAACCTAATAGATAAAATGTTGAAACTAAAAAAAACTCAAAAATTTTAAAGGAATATGGTAATATTTAATATTATTTTATGGCAGGAACAGAGGCAACAAAAGGCTGTAAAAGTAAGTGGTCTGGAAAAAACAGCTACAAGAGCATTTAGCAACTAATTAGGTTAATTGATGTCAAATCAGTAAGAGGACTGGGTATAAATAAATCATTTTAGCAAGACTGAATCTCTCAGAAATAAAGATGGGCAGAAGTTCACCAGTCTGCAAAAAATAATATCTAAAAATTGTGGAACAATTTCAGAATAACGCTCCCCAACTAAAAAATTAGGTAGACTGTTCCCATCATCTACAGTTTATAATATTGTCAAAAGATTTCAAGAATCTGGAGAAATCTCTGAGCTCAAAGGATGAGGCTGAAAGTCAGTACTGGATGGTCATGATATTCAGGCCCTCAGGGGCCACTGCATTAAAAACAGGTTTGGTTCTGTTCTGGATATCACTGCATGGGCTCAGGAACACTTCCACAAACCATTGTCTGTAAACACAGTTCACCGTGCCACCCAAATATACTAATTAAAGCTCTATCATGCAAAGCAGAAGGCATATGTGAACACCATCTAGAAACGCTGCCATCTTCTCTGGACCAAAGCTCATTTAACATGAACAGAGTGGAAAAACAGTTCTGTGATCAGATGAATCAAAATGGCCCACCTGGATCAGCACAAAGTTCAAAAGTATGCCTCTCTGATGGTATGGGGGTGCATTAGTGCCTACGGCCTGAAAGGCATCATCAGTTCAAAAAAGTTATACAGGGTTCAGAGCAACATATGCTGCCATCCAGCAAAAAATAGAGCAAAGCAAAACCAGGACCGTTAGAATCAAACAAGAATGAAACATTTTCCTCTAAAAACTTTAATGACTGGTCTCTTCAGTTCCTGGATGTTTACAAACTGTTGTTAAAGAAAGGGGGGGATATTTCACAGTGGGACAAACGGACTTGTCCCCACTTTTTAAAATGTGTTGCTCCCATAAAATTTTAAACTACCTTAATCAAAGGAAAATTGTACTGTTTCTTAGTTTCAATATTTGATGTGTTCACTAAGTTCCACAAATAAAACATAAGTTTATGACATTTGCAACCCATTCCATTCTGTTTTTATTTACATTTTGTCACAATATTCCAACTTTTTCAGAAATGAGGTTGTATATTACATGTGAAATTATAAGACTTTGCTTCAGTCAAGTGTTTGTTTGATTTTAGACTGTTACTCAATTCAATTCAAATTCAAAAATACTTTATTAATACCAAAGGGAAATGATTTGTTGTTGTAACTTGTTATCCTCGTTTCATTAAGAGATGTTATAGATGCTGATGGCTGTAGACAGGAAGGATCTCTTGTAAAGATCCATCCCACAGTGGATCCTAAGAAACTGGCTGCAGATGCCGTCCGATCCGTCCACCCAGACTCGGCTGGCCTCTCGGTTCCCCCGGGCTGTAGGACCGCCTGAATGCCGGGCAGAACTCCTCCAGAGCGATGGCTACTCCTCCCAGTAGTCTGCCGAGCTCCTCGTCGCAGCGGACAGCCGGCTGTAGGTGCCGAGGGACGATCCTGTCCTTCCACTGTCATGAGCCGTGTTATAGTTCCAGGATTTCAGTGGTCAGGCACTTGAGCACAGCTGGCAGGTAGATGAGACTGCATCCACGGCACCTCTTTTTCAATTCATTTGAGATTTGGGGCTGTAGTTGAGATATTATTTGAGCTTTTAGATGTTAATCAGCTCCTCCTGGTTGTAGAAAATCATCTTGTTTTTATGGTTACGCATCAAAACAAATGTCCGAAATTAAAAAAAGTTTCAGTAAAAATCCTTCCAGCTGCACAGCATACGATACCAGAGGAAACAACCATCCAAAAAAAAAAAAAAAAAGTGATTTACATCCAGAAAAAAAGGAATTAGTTTCTAAAAGCAAAATCTCATAATGAATCTAACAGAGCTACTCCAACATGCAGCCACCGCGAGCAGCGCAATTCTATAACTGATCAGATCATTACATCATCTGCAAAGAGAAGATGGAATCCTGACGCCACCGAACCGGACTCCTTCCGCCCCCTGGCTGCACCAAGAAATTCTGTCCATAAAAGTTATGAACAGAATCGGTGACAACGGGCAGCCCTGGCAGAGTCCAACTCCCACTTAAAGGAAAGCTTTAATCCAGCTCCCTAAAGAAATCAGGGCAGCTCTCATCCACCCCTGGAGGCCTGCCGCCGTGGAGGTTTTTAACTACCTCGGAGACCTCAGCCATGGTTATGGCCAGATCAACCCCAAAGTCCCCTGACTCAGCTTCCTCTATGGAAGATGTGCCAATGGAATTGAGAAAGGCCGAGAAATATTCCTTCCACCTCCCGATGACATCACTGATTGAGGTCACCATCGCCCCACCTTCACTGAACACAGTGTAAGTAAAGCATTGCTTTCTCCTCCTCAGCTTCCAGGCGGTTTGCCAGAATCTCCTCGGAGCCGACTGAGTCTTTATCCAAGGCCTCACCAAACTCCTTTCACATTTGAGCTTTTTCAACAGCCAGGACTGCAGACCGCTTGACCTTTTGTAACTTTAAAACATGCTACTTTTTAAATAAAATGTTCACTCAAAAGTGCAGAAATCCAAACAAATTTAGCAAAATCTGCGACTCTGACAATCCTTAGAGAGAATTTACCCTTTTAACATCATACCTCTGCATGTCAAAAGTGAAGTATTCAAGGATTTGAACTTACCGTCACAACTCGGAGCAGCAGAGAGCATCAAGAGCATCACCAACCCGAGACGCTCCCTCATCTTTGCACAAAGCGTCACGCTCCGAGGCAGTGGGGTGAGGTCAGCAGCATGTCTTTAATAGACTCCTGTAAACTCCAGGCTCTGCGGCGTGCCCTGTTGCTACCTAAAACAAGTGAGATATGGAGGGAAAACAGATCACAACACCAGTAACTGTTCTGAGTTTCAACTGACATAAACAGGCCGTTTGTCACGTCACATGATCATAAAACGTGATACTTGAAGCAGAACGAACCGAGTTTCTGACAGACAGCATCGTACGGTTATCAGAGATTGAATCTACTGGACAAGAACATCAGTGACAACGAGAAGCTTTTTAAACTGGATCTACTAGATTTAAATGGCCAGCTGTGAAGAGAACAGTTATTATTATTATTATTATCCATCCATCCATCCATTATCTTTTACTCGCTTCTTCCATTTTGGGTCACGGGGGTCGCTGGTGCCCATGTCCAGCAATCACTGTGCGAGGGGCGGGGTACACCCTGGACGGGTCGCAAGTCCATCACAGGGACACATAGAGACAAACAACCATTCACTCTCTCATTCACACCTAGGGACAATTTAGAGCTACCAATCAGCCTAACATGCATGTTTTTGGTCTGTGGGAGGAAACCGGCGTACCCGAAGAAAACCTACATGCACGGAGAGAACATGCAAACTTTACCCAGAAAGGCCCCCGGACCGGGATTTGAACCAGGGACCTGCTCGCTGAGAGGCAGCAGCTCTACCAGTTGCGTATTATTATTATTATTATTATTATTATTATTATTATTATTATTATGGTGAGTTTGTTAGTGTGCTGGGGATACGCATTTCACTGCACTAAAGGAACCCACTGTAATATCATAAAGAATGGTAAAAAAAAAAAATAAAACCTGCACAATTATTTTCTCATTCATTTTTAAGGAGTCCCTAAATTAAAAATTTGTAAGGAAATTTTGTGAATGATTGCCAAATGCCACGTGCCGCGTATGTTTGCCTACAGAAATACTTTTATTCATCTACAGGAACACATTTTTATCTACAGCAGGGGTGTCAAACTCACTTATAGAAGGGGCCAAAATTAAAACATTTTTCAAACTAAGGGCCGATTTCAGAATCTACATTAACTCCAATCAGATACTCAACATCTTTTCTTGGTTGCAGGTTCCTCAACAAGAGTTTGACTGGTCTCTGTTGTGCTTTCGACATCATAATCAAAGATTACTGAAAAAATTCAAGAGATAGAAGTATTTTATATTTCACATATCATCTTGGTGGCCAGATAAGATGTCAACGATGACCACATTTGGCCCCCGGGCCTTGAGTTTGACACATATGATCTACAGGAACAAATTTGTTTACCTATTGAAACACGTTTGTTCTGAAACACGTTTGTTTACCTACTGAAACACGTTGTTTACCTACTAAAACACGTTTGTTTACCTACTAAAACACGTTTGTTTACCTACTGAAACACGTTGTTTACCTACTAAAACACGTTTGTTTACCTACTGAAACACGTTTGTTTACCTACTGAAACACATTTGTTTATCTATGGAAACACATGTTTACCTACTGAAACATATTTGTTTACCTACGGAAATATATTTGTTTACCTACTGAAACATGCTTGTTTACCTACTAAAACATGCTTGTTTACCTTCTAAAACATGCTTGTTTACCTTCTGATATATGTTTGTTTACCCATAGAAACACATGTTTACCTACTGAAACATGTTTGCTTACCTACTGAAACACGTTTGTTTACCTATGGAAACATTTGTTTACC